TTGTGTATTGTATTTTTCGTGGAATTTCTAGACGTGGCATCATAATTTTTCAAAAAGTTGCCTTCTGATTAGCAAATTAGTGATACTCATATCTACGTCCTAACTCTTTTTATGTATTCATGTTAGATACTTCTAACTTGTAAAAGTATACAATTCATTTGTCCAATAATTTTTATTAATCATAAAATCAGGATTGAACTTGCTTCCTTGACTATTTTGATTAATATGTTACAATTTATGCAACCCAAAAATACTACTTTGAAGAACTTGACATTTAAACACATAGCCTGACATAGTAATTAAAGTATTCATTCAATTTGAGGATTGAACTCATACAACTCATTGACCTGTGAGAGCATTTACCTCTCAAAATGAATATTAAAGATAGAAGGCATACCTTTGTTAAGGTGGGTTGTATATATCAATAACCATATTGCACTAGGTATTCTGCTATGCCTTGATCGGCCAAATAATAACTCAATTATGTTACACCAGCATGAAAATTGCCAACTTGTCACCTTTTTTTAGTGTTTGTTATTTTTTATTAAATTTGTATCACTTTTTTAATATTTGTTACTTTTTTTTTTCAATTCTTAGAAATTTCTATCACTTTTTTGAGTGACAAACATCATTTTTTTTAATAAAAATGACATTGNTAAATTTTATTAAAATCTACTAAAAATATGATTTTAATCCCCAGTAAACAAGAGCTTAACGTCTGATGATTCAAAGATTTCAGCTTATTAAATTACAGACGAAAATCTTTTCCAAAAAGTTGTGATAAGGTTCATACATGTTAGGCATATGGAAGGTTGCAGCAGCACGACGTCTAGAAATTAAGGGGAGTCAACAAGTGTGATTTTGTATCAAGCGTGAGTTCTCAGATATTGAGAGTTTTTAGAGGGAGAGAGTTTAGCCTCTGAAATGCTTGATAGTATCTTGTAATTTTCATTGTAATCCATTTCTGGTATCAATTATAATAATATAAATATAAGCTCGATGCAATTTGATTTCATTCAAACACAGTTATACTATCATCGTTCGTACTGCACATTTTGATCTCACAGCTAGATCCATTGTTCCTATTAAAATGCAAGTGGCTTGAAACGTTCAAATTGCCATATGTTGTGCAATCAGTAAAGTTAATCTTGAGCATGATTTTTTAGCTTATCGACATTTAGCCCCTGTTTGGTGCACATTTGTGGCTCCAAGAAGGCATTTTTTTGTTGATGTGATAGGGAATATGTAATTGAAAAAGAAGAAAAAGTTATTGATGTAATTGAAAATATTATTTTGTACCATGGGTCACTTTTTCAGTGTCACTTTTTATTGATTGTGTCACCTTTTCTATTAAAAAAGTGGAAATTAATTTTATACAGTATTTTTTACTTCCCAAATATGTTTCATATGATTTTTCAAAAGATTCCTAATTTTAAGGGTATTTTTGGAAGTCGCCCATATTTATCCTCACATTACCAAGGCCCATGTGGCCCTGGTAAACGAGAATAGCCTTTTATCCAAAAAGTAATGCTATTCATCCTCACTAGGGATAAAAACACAGTTTTGTGGCGTTAATGTGGCATTAAATAATAGGTGAAATTAAATAAGTCATTTAATTTCACATTTCATTTAACATATCATTTAATGCCACATAAATTGTGTTTTCATCCCCATTGGGGATGAATAACATTACTCTTATCCAAATTGTGTAATAGCTGATACAGTACTCACACATCTATTTCTCACTTTCGACAACCGAACTTACTTATTTTTAAATATTGTACTACTTTCAATATTCTTATTTTTAACACTATACTTTTTGCACTTCATTTTTACACAATTCTAGCCTTACATAAATCCGAAATTTATATTTCTTGACATAGAAAATTCAAGGTATACACAAATAAGTATTATCATCCAATTTGAGGAAGCACCAATTAAAGAAGTAGAGCGTGAGAAGAATGAGAAGTTGATCTGAAGGAGCAAAGTGAATGTAACGTTCAATGAAGTCTGAATTATCAAACAATCAAGTGACTTCAATGATTGCTCTAAAGTTGATTTTGTAATTATGCTCAAAGAGGAAGTTGGAAGTTTTTCGTAGTTGGGTTCGATTCATATAGTGAAGTCAGTCATATTTTTAAGAGAATGACAACGTTAAATTTTGGACGATAGATGAAAAAATGATACAAAGCCAACTAATGCAAGCAAATCAAAGGCATCGTAAGTTGTATTCAATGTGCCATGAAATCATTATTTTAATAATTTTAAACGAGCGCTTTCAAACACCACTATCTATAGGTTGATGATTGTTGTCGATTTTTTTAAACCTATAAGTATGTCTTGCAACTTTTTATTGAAAGAAAAGATTTCACTTCAATTTGTCAATTTTTCAAATTGAAATTAATTTGCTTATGGCGTGTGGACAATCCCGTTTGACACTACTACTCCATGATTTGTTGATTTACATTGGTCAACAAAATTAAGACGTGCTAACTACTTTGTACGAATGAAGAACATATTACACCAAATTCCTTAAATTTTCAAACCGACAAAATTTACTTATGGCTCGTGGAGATGTCAAATTCGTAACAAAACGTACTATTGTTTCTATCAATGTTACTAGTATCACAGATCTAAACAAGAATAGGCACTTGTACCATGCATTCCTTCATCTGGCCGAGAAGGGAGAAAGTCCGAATAATTGGCATGTGCCTCTTCTATTACATTACAAAGGAGTTCATTCTTGTCTTTTAAGAATTACATAATTAATTTTTCAAGAAAAAAAAGCAAGGACCATTTTCTTCGTCAAGTTTTGGCTACGTCTTGCCAAATAAGATGAACATAGATGAACGGAATGAAATGCCAACAAATATTATTATAATACTAAGAGCCTGTTTGTTTTTGCTTTTTTCCCAAATTTTAATCCATTTTCTTATCGTTTTCAGCCGCAATTGTTGACCTTTCTCTTACAATTTAGCTCAGCAACGATCCAAAAATTGCTTTTAATTTGGGGAAAATTTGTTGCAAGACAAGCTCTAAGTGTAGTTAACAAAGAAAATCAAATGACTGAGTACTACGAGGTAAACCATATTGAATAATGACATATATATTAAAATTGAAATGCATTCATCACACTACCTGTTTTTTGAGGGGAAAAAAATAAAGCAAGGACCATTTTCTTGGTCAGGTTTCGGCTAGTCCTAATTAGATGAACATAGATGAACGGAATAAAATGCCAACAAATATTAATATAATACTAAGAGCCTGTTTGTTTTTGCTTTTTCTCCAAATTTTAATCCATTTTCTTACCGTTGTCAGCAGCAATTGATGACCTTTCTCTTAGACTTCAGCTCAGTAACGATCCAAAAATTGCTTTTAATTTGGGGAAAAATTTTTGCAAGACAAGCTATAAGTGTAGTTAACAAGGAAAATCAAATGACTGAGTTCGTAACAAATATAGCTACGAGGTAAACCAGATTGAATAATGCCACATATATTAAAATTGAAATGCATTCATCACACTACCTGTTTTTTGAGGGGGAAAAAATAAAGCAAGGACCATTTTCTTGGTCAGGTTTCGGCTAGTCCTAATTAGATGAACATAGATGAACGGAATGAAATGCCAACAAATATTAGTATAATACTAAGAGCCTGTTTGTTTTTGCTTTTTCTCCAAATTTTAATCCATTTTCTTACCGTTGTCAGCAGCAATTGTTGACCTTTCTCTTAGACTTCAGCTCAGTAACGATCCAAAAATTGCTTTTAATTTGGGGAAAATTTTTGCAAGACAAGCTCTAAGTGTAGTTAACAAGGAAAATCAAATGACTGAGTACTACGAGGTAAACCAGACTGAATAATACCACATATATTAAAATTGAAATGCATTCATCACACTACCTGTTTTTTGAGGGGGGAAAAATAAAGCAAGGACCATTTTCTTGGTCAGGTTTCGGCTAGTCCTAATTATATGAACATAGATGAACGGAATGAAATGCCAACAAATATTAGTATAATACTAAGAGCCTGTTTGTTTTTGCTTTTTCTCCAAATTTTAATCCATTTTCTTATCGTTGTCAACATCAATTGTTGACCTTTCTCTTAGACTTCAGCTCAGTAACGATCCAAAAATTGCTTTTAATTTGGGGAAAAATTTTTGCAAGACAAGCTCTAAGCGTAGTTAACAAGGAAAATCAAATGACTGAGTTCGTAACAAATATAGCTACGAGGTAAATCAGATTGAATAATGCCATATATATTAAAATTGAAATGCATTCATCACACTACCTGTTTTTCGAGGGGGAAAAAAAAAGAAGAAGCAAGGACCATTTTCTTGGTCAGGTTGCGGCTACGTCTTGCCTAATTAGATGAAAATAGATGAACGGAATGAAATGCCATCAAATATTAGTATAATACTATGTGCAGTTAACAAGAAAAATGCAAATAACTTTGAGTCTATCACAAATATAGCTACAAAGTAAATCAGATTGAATAATGCCAAATATATATTAAAATTCAGATGAGTTCATCACACTATCTATTTTTCGAGAAAAAAAGAGCAAGGACCATTTTTTTTGTCAGGTTTTGGCTGCGTCTTGCCTAATCAGATGAGCATAGATGAACGGAATGAAATACCAACAAATATGTAGTTTAACAAGGAAATCAAATGAACTCTATTACAAATATAGCTGCAAGGTAAATCATATTGAATAATGCCAAATATATATTAAATTTGAGATGAGTTCATCACACTGTCTATTTCAATCAAAGATACATTCATTACACTATCTATTTCAATTTTAATCAAAGATACAAAACGTGTCTACCTGTATCTTTTAAATTTCAAATTATAAGCTAATTTATAAACGGAGGCTAACACAAGAAAAGTAATATCATACGAGTAAAAAACTTATTCGCTTTCAGTTGATGAATTAACAAGGGAAAATCTCTCTTGAACAAAAAAGTCAAAGAGATTGGTCAATTAATTATTTCTATTTCTTTGATTATCCACTTCTAGAATGATGAAAATCGAACCATGAATCTCCATCAAGAACGCCATTCTGAAAATCATCTGGAATTCCAAGCGAGTCCACCACATCCTCCCTGCTCCACCCCGCACTCAATAATCTCTTCGACAATAACCTTACGCGCCACCCCACGCACTCCTTACTGAATGATTCATCAGTGTTAGTACTATTATCATCGTCTTCGTTATCAAATTCATCACAGCCGTTCATCATCATCATCTCCCTTACATCCTCTTCTTTCCACCCTCCATCCCTCAATCTCCGAAATACCTCCTCTAAACATCCACCCAAGTCCCCACTCCACCACCCACGTGTGATCCCACGCGCCTCCGTCATGTCTGTCCAAAACTCAATTCTCCGCGCCTCCGTTGCCGCCCACGGCGGCGCATCCAGCCTCAAATACTCCTCATTCTCTATTCTGAATTCAACTCGCCGGAAAAACCCAGCAATATCAAAACTCCACAGCTTCACCTCGCCGCCATGAACGTAAAAAACCGGGTTCCCGGCCATGCATGGCGCAGAGGAAATGTAAAATTTCCCGTATATAGGAACAAGAATCGGCGCTTCTTTTAAGAACCCTCGAGCCAAATTCACAGCCCGATCATTATCACTCGGTCTATCTCCCCAAGATTCGAGCCAAAGATTGTTCCTTGTAACCTGTTTACAAATCTCAATAATGGGTAGGTCTATTTGGATTTCAAGCTGTTGTTTAGACGACGATCGCCAATGCGGGAAGCCCTGCCCAATCGGAAGGCCCTCTTGAAGGATGGACCGGAGGTCCGGTGGGAAAGTGAAATTGAAAGACGACTCTAAAGCGGAGAATTCGGGCTCGGAAAGCCCTTTTTCCACCGGAATATTCGATGAATTCAAATGGTTTATTAAATTCTTGGCATATGCTGCATATGAAAAGCAGACTCTCATTGGTTTGAAGGTCATGGGGATTATGGGATTCAATGGCTCTATAACAGTAGCTGCCATTGACGATTGCGGATCAAGAAAATCGTGGGCTATACATACAGATATGTGTGTATGTATATGTGTCTATATCTCTATGTGTGAGATTCAGTGTGAGTTCTTGTGAGGATTTTATATATGAAAAGCGTGCTTGACGGGTGGAGTTGAAGCTGATGCTGTTAATTTGAACGAAGAATTCGCATGAAGAAAATAGGGTTTGTTTTAGACTCTTTGACTCCCTCTTTCTCTCTCGTTTGTAACTCTTCGAAAATACCACTTTCAACAATTAAAGGCGTGGTCTTTACATATACGTTTTTTCTGCAAAGACCCATAACTAGAGGTGTCAAGACGGACGGGCCGACCATGACCCGTGAAAATCGGCCCGTGAAAATCNTCTCTATGTGTGAGATTCAGTGTGAGTTCTTGTGAGGATTTTATATATGAAAAGCGTGCTTGACGGGTGGAGTTGAAGCTGATGCTGTTAATTTGAACGAAGAATTCGCATGAAGAAAATAGGGTTTGTTTTAGACTCTTTGACTCCCTCTTTCTCTCTCGTTTGTAACTCTTCGAAAATACCACTTTCAACAATTAAAGGCGTGGTCTTTACATATACGTTTTTTCTGCAAAGACCCATGACACTCGTTTGTATTTGTAAGGTCCTTCTAGAACGTATATGATAGTACATATTCAATAAGAACAAATGAACAATACTACGGTTACATCAAAAAAACACACACGTGTGTGGGCCCCATTTTTTATAATAATATCTTATTCACATGGGGTCCACCCCATGTGAGTATTCTGGCAATTTTACAGATGAAATAATTATGTACAAGTGATAAAATCCATTGAATAAAATTAGACGATATAGCTAATTCTCATGTCATACATGATTTTAATGTAACTATTTGATAGAAGAAGAATAAATTTGACGTATCGGCGCACACTGGTTAGATTTAAATAAATGTATATGATCCTACTAATACGTACACAATTTTAAGTGTGATTTAACACATAATCAGATTCTAAGTTCAACACATCTTGCATTCAATACAATAAGGAAAAAAAAAAAAAGAAGAAAAAGAAGTCGACCTTCATTTAGATACACATACATCAATATACAATATAAAACTTTTAGATTAAACGGCTCACAAAATAATAAGTTAAAAAACTTCTATAGTTAACTTTCCACACAAAAATCCAATTATCGAATTTATTATTGAACTAAAAAAATGGAATTGATTTTGGATGGCCGATTTGATGCCGTCATTGTTATGAATAATTGCATTAAATTGGTCTATCTATGCATGCCGGCGTCACTTATTAATCCAGCGACAAAATTTATTAGAATTTATTTTTCATAAATTATGCAAACAAGAACCAGAAATTATGGTACTTCTTTGACTCAGTACTCTCACGATTACGACAAAAAACAAAGCGTGGACGACTTGGCCTGTTGGCTGGCTTCTACATCCCCGTGTGTTAGAAGGTAAGTCATTTTCTGTTCCTATCCGAGATTTTCAAGCCAATCATGACATATTTTCAATATTTTGAAATATAGCCCCTGTTTAGTATAAATTAAATTCAGAGTTTAATACACGTCAAAGTCAACAATTAGTTTTAACCATACATTTTTACAATTTTTATCAAAATCTACTAAAAATTTGATTTTAATCCCCACCAAATAGGAAGAGGAAGGAGTATAGTAACTTACAAATTGAATAAAGAATATCTTTATGAATTATAGTACTCGGAGCAGTTTGGAAGCAACATTTGTTCTCCTATTGAAGAGTGCATGACTATGTGGTAGTTAAACTAATATTGACTTGTCAATTTGGGATCAAATTCGATATTTTTCTTTGGAGGTATCGGAAAGGAATTGAAATGAAATAAAATTGATTCATACAGAAGAAAAGATTATCTATTGATTCAAACACTATATCTATATAGGATAGGGATAGAAGAGGAAAAAAATCAAAGATTTCACTTAGTATTTTTGATCGAAAAATCAATCAGATTGATTCGATGTATAAATAGGATGATACGGTTGATAATTCTAATGTCAGTACAATACTAGTATTTTGTACAAACAAGTATTTGTAATTACTTGATAATATTATTTTTAAGATGCCTTGCAAGATAGCCGTGTACCACAATATGGTGCAATTGTAGAACTGATCTACGGAGAGTCCTACTTAGTGAGACAATTGGGCAATTGGATTTGCACCAACAAAGACAATATGTTCACTTGTAGAAGTCCGATCATTAAAATTTGTTCCCCAATCGGCATAAGAAAATGCATGTAAACGAATAGGAGAATACCGACGAAGAAACGTGCCAAGATGCATTGTTTTATAGGGAGAATTGAAAAGCCGCTTTACATACATCCAATGTTATGATGTAGTTCAGTGCATAAATTGAATACTTTATTGTCAAAGTAAGCGATGTCACGTCGTGATATTGGAAATTACCAAATACATGGCGATACTCAGTAGCATCATACGAGGTCATACCATTAGAAATGCAAATATTAGTAGAACTTTACATGGGTGTCTAGAATGGCTTGTTAGATGCATATTCATGAGGCTCAATTAAGTCATAAAGATATGGACGTTGAGATCCAGATCGAGAATGAGACAAATTATGGTGAAGTTTGAGATTTGGATTGAATGACTAATAATAGTCTATATTGCGTGATAATGAAAGCCTTTGGCCACAAGGCAGGCATTGGAGATCAACGAAACCATTATGTTTCTATTTTGTACGAAAAAATCACTTGCAACCAAGAATATTATGGGACTTGAAAGGTGGGACTAACGTCCAAACTTGTCAACTCTCTTGACCCTCCTCCATCAATTCCAGCCTAAAGTAAGACCCACACATAGAATGTAGTAAAGCTTGCGTATTAAGTTTAGGTCAAGCCCAAATAAATGAACAGCCCCATCACTGCAGCTTCCCAATTCTATCTCAAGAAAATCAAATGGAAAACCTCCACGGCTTGACTGGCCGAGTTTTTGAAATGGTCACGTCAAACACTCTATTCAGCACATAGACCTAACTTACTAATTATTCACCAACATGACCTTTTTAACATTAAAAGACAAAAATTCCCTTCAAAATTAAAAGGCTGGATTTCTGCCTCGGTTCAGTCCCCCCCCCCCCCCCCCCCCCCCC